CGGAGGGGGCGGAGCGTCGCTCTACGTCCACTGGCACGTTCCCCTTGGGACCGCTCACTTCCCCGCCCCCCTGCCCCGCCCCTTCCTCTTCGCTTTGGAGAAAGCCGCTGGGGGCGGGACCGAGACCCGCCTCTGCTCGCTGCGGCACGTGTGACGTCACGAGGGGCGGTGCTTCGGGGGCGATCTAAAGGAGGGACCGAGGCCGAGAGCCCGATAGTTGCGCCACTCACACTTGGAAGGGAGCTGACGGGACAGCGGCGCGAGCCAATCGCAGCCAGCCCTCCGAGCCACCGACACCTGGGTGGAGACTTCGGATGCTGCGGCTGCAGGTGGGTGATGTCGGGGGTCTGAGGCAGGAGTGGGGTGAAGGCGTCTCGCTCCAGGAGGCTGGGGTCGGCCCCGTAGACGCACAGAAGGGAGGATCCCCTTGGCTGCAGCTGCCTCGGCCGCCCCTTCGTGTTCGGCACCCGGAGAGGTTTCCGAGTCTGGGGAGGGACTGCGCGGTGCCCTCTGCAGTTGTGCTTGGCGGCGGCCCCCAGCCGCCTTCCTCCCCCCACCCCGCAGGCCCTTCGGTCGAACCCCTTCGCCCGGCTAGGACGCTCCCAGCCTCCAGCGGCGCAGTGGGGCCGGGGCTGCCCGCGACGCTGCCCTTTGTTCTCAGCCCCGAGCGCCCGAGGTGCTGCTTTGCGATGGCCAAGCCTGGACCCAAGCCCCGGGGAGCGCGCCGAGGCTTCTGCTGTTGGGGCGCCGCAGGCAGCTCCTCGCTCTAAAGGCGGCAGAACCAGGTTCAGCAGCTTCCCCAGCCCTCCGCAGTTACCCTGTGCGTTGGCTTAGTTATTTTTATGGGTGCCTCTGTTTCCACAGTGTTGCATGTAGACTGCGGGTGACTTTCATAGGAAAGCCCTAGTGATCGAAGCCCCGCCCGGGTTTGGGTCCAGGGAAAAGCTGATCTCTGCGGATGAATGTAAACGCCTAACTTGGTGGTTGATTAAATGCTACACACACTGTGGACCCAGGGCCTCTTCTTCCTTTGGCTGGCAAGGAATGTCAGTTAAAGGCCAGCGGTAGTATTAACACAGTTACCAGGGGATTATCTTCAAACTCTTTAACGTGGGTTCTGTTCTGTTTTCATCTATACTCGTTTCCGTTACCTGTATCTATACTTGTTTTCGTGATACCGTTAGCCCCCTTCAGTCCTTTGCAGGTAAAAGGGATTTTGAACACACACGTGCACAAATCTGCAAAGGGCTGTAAAATGAATTACTGGCTTGATATATCAGTGTAGCCAATGCTATAAAAGTCTGCATCAAGTGTTTTATGTAGGGTTTGCTTACCACCTGCAGAGAGTTTACAGTCTGGCAAAGCAGATAAAACATGTACAGAAAAAGCTACAATAGGAGAAAATGTAAAGATATGTAAAGTATAAGGCATTCTACGTACTAATACTCCTTTTAGTAGGGTGAAAGAGAGGACCTTGCCTATACTGGATTGAGATACGTGGAAGTGAAGTTACTATAGGCTGTTCTTTAAAGTTTTTGTGCATTAGGGAGTAGAAAATGGGATGATAGCTGGAGGGGAATAATAATAGGTCAAAGGATGTATTTTTGTTTGTTTAAAGATGGGAGATACAGAAGTTTGTACACTGATGGAAAATGTCCAGTAGAGTGAAAAATTGTTGATGTAGCAGAAAGAGGAGTGTGTGTGTGTTTACTACTCTAAAGTGTATTCCAGAGTGCAGGAACTTGTCTGTTTTGTTTTTGCTGTATGCCCAGTATCTGGAATAGTGCTTGCCACAATAATAGCTACTCTGTAAACTTTTTAAAAAATATATCTTTATTGATTTCAGAGAGAGGAAACGAAAGGGAGAGAGAGAAATAGAAACATCAATGATGAGTCATTAATTGGCTGCCTCCTGCACGCCCCTGACTGGGGATCGAGCCCGCAACCTGGGCGCTTGCGCCCTGACCAGGAATCGAACCCCGATCACCTGGATCCTACGTCGACGCTCAACCACTGAGCCACACCGACCTGGCAACGACATGTTTCTTAAATGAGTGTCTATTATTATCTATCTCCAGGGTTTTCTTTCAGGATGCTGATACCCATTCTCCACACTTTGATGCATGTGCACATAATGACAAATATGTCATGACTGCTAGCTAATCAAAAGTGATTTTAAGATACCTATCAATTTTAGATATGTTAAATGTGAAAAAATGTATCTTAAAATTAGTGAAATATAATACTGAATTTGCAGAATATTTGGCAGGGGAAAAATGCCTTACAGGTCTTTTACCAAGAATTAAAGTAATGTTACTGGCTAAGAATATGCTATTAACGATTTTAACCATTAATATTTGCATACTACTTGAGGATATTTAATATTCATGATATCATTTAAGCATTAAGCAGTACAGTGTAATTGGTGTGTCCACTTGGTAAATTGCAAGCCAAACCCTCAGAGAGCCTCAGTAGGAGCCACTAGTAACTGACAAGCCATTTAGGACCCTTACTAAACTTAAGAAATGAAAATGTCAGCTTTTTGGAATTGTCATTTAGAATATATATGGAAGGCTTTATCTTTTAACTTTATACAAGTGAATAGCTATGTATGGGATTTTTTTTTATTTTTTATTAGAGGAAGGTTGCGGGAGGAGAGAGATTGGGAGGGAGGGAGAGAGAAACATGGAAGTGAGAGAGAAACATTGATTGGCTGCTTCCTGTATGCGCCCTGTCCATGGATTGAACCTACAATCTAGGTATATGCCCTGACTAGGAATGGAACTTGAAACCCTTTTTGGTGTAAGGGATGATGCTCCAACCAACTGAGTCACCTGACCAGGGCATGCCTTAGAAATCTTTATATTCTGCATTGAATATACAGATGGCTTTGGGTAATAGGGACATTTTAACAGTATTAATTCTTCTGATCCATGAATATGGGCTATCTTTCCATTTATCTGTGTCATCTTTAACTTCTTTAATTAGTGTCTTACAGTTTTCAGTGTATAGATCTTTCACCTACTTGGTTAAATTTATTCCTATGTATTTTATTGATTTTGATGCTATTGTAATCGGGATTGTCTTCATTATTTTATTTTTAGATAATTTGTTGTTAGTACTACTAATTTTCGTGTGTTAATTTTGTATCCTGTCACTTTACTGAGTTCATTTATTAGTTCTAACACTTTTTTGGTGGAGTCTTTAGGCTTTTCTATGTATAAAATCATGTCATCTGCAAAAAAAGAAAATGTCACTTCTTCCTTTCCAATCCTGATGCCTTTTCTTTGTTTTTCTTGCCTGATTACTCTGGTTAGAATGTCCAGCACTACGTTGAATATTGGTGAGAGTGGACCACCTTATCTTGATCCTAATATTAGACAAAAAGCCTTCAACTTGTCACAGTTGAATACAGTGTTAGCTATGGGCTTGTCATAGTTTGCTTCTATTATTATTGAGATACTTTCTTTTTATGTGCAATTTGTTTAGAATTTTTATGAATGGATGCTGAAATTTCAAATGCTTTTACTGGGTCTATTGGGTGATCATATGATTTTTATCTTTATAATTAATGTGATGAATCACATTTATTGATTTTTTTGTAAGTTGAACCATCCTTGCATCCCAGGGATGAATCATGGCATATAATCCTTTTATAATGTGCTGTTGGATTTGGCTTGCTTATATTTTGCTTGTAATTTTTGCATCTATATTTATTAGGGACATTGGCGTATAGTGTTATTTTTATGTAGTGGCCTTATCTAGCTTTGGTATCACGGTAATAATGACCTTGTAAAATTGATTTATAGATGTTCCTTCCTCTTCAGTTTTTTGGAAATGTTTGAGAAGGATTGGCCTTAGTTCTTTTTTAAATGTTTGGTAAATTTTACCCATCAACCCTTCTGCTCCTGGATTTTTCTTTGTTGGAAGGTTTTTGATTATTCATTCAATCTCATAGTAATTGGTCTATTTTTCTATTTCTTCATGAGTCAGAATTGGGAGGTTGTTTCTAGGAATGTATCCAGTTCATCTAGGTAATCTGGTTTGATGGTGTATAATTGTTTATAGTAGTTTCTTATGATCCTTTGTATTTCTGTAGTATCAGTTATAATGTCTCCTCTTTCATTTATAATTTTATTTATTTGAGATCTTTCCATCCCTCCCTCTCTCTCTGGTTAGTCTGAGTAAAGATTTGTCATCTTTATCTTTTCAAAGAACCATGTCTTAGTTTTGTCAATCTTTTTATTGTTTTCCTATTTTCTATTTCATTAATTTCTGCTTTAATCTTTATTATTTCCTTACTTTTTCTAGTTCCTTGAGATGTAAAATTGTTTATTTGAGGTCTTTTTCTTGATTTATGCATTTATTGCTATAACTTTTCCTCTTAGAACTGCTTTCGCTTCATTCCATAAGTTTTGGTATGTTGTAATTTCATTTTCATGTGTCTCAAGATATTTTTTATTTCTTATTTAATTGCTTCTTTGATATACTAGTTGATCAAGAGTGTGTTGTTTAATTTCCATATATTTGCCAATTTTCTAGTTTTCCTCCTGTTATTGGTGTCTAGTTTCATATGATTGTGTCTGGAAAACAGAGTTGGTATGGTTTTAATCTTAAATTTGCTGAGACTTGGTTTGTGGCCTAACATATGTCTCCGTCCTAGGAAATGTTCTGTTTATGCTTCAGAAGAATCATTATTCTTCTCTTGTTGGACAGAATGTTCTGTAAACATCTGTTAATTCTCTCTGGCCTATAATGTTCAAACCCTCTGTTTCCTTTTTACTTCTGTCTGGATGATCTATCCATTGTTGAAAGTGGGGTATTAAAATCCCCAATTATTACTGTATTGCTGTTTACACCCCCTGTTAGTTCTGTTAGTATTTGCCTTATATGTTTTGGTTCTCTGATATTGGGTGCATAAATATTTACAACTTTTATATCTTCTTGATGGATTAACCCCATTATCATTATATAATGACCTTCTTTGTCTCTTTAGACCATTTTTAGCTTAAAATCTATTTTATCTGTTTTTAAGTACAGCTACCCATGCTTTCTTTTGGTTACCATTTGCTTAAAATATCTTTCCTACTTTACTCTCAATCTGTGTGTCTTTATAGCCAAAGTGAATCTCGTGTTGGCAGCTTATCGTTGGATTTTTTTTATCCATTCAGCCGTTATGTCTTTTGATTGGAGATTTTAATCCATTTACATTTAAAGTAATTAATGGTAGGTAAAATCTTGCTATATCCATGGTGTTAATTGTGTTCTGACAGTTTTGTAGATCCTTTGTTCCCCGTTTTTTTATCTGTCTGTCTTTATGATTTGATGA